AAGAGAGAAAACAATGGCGACTTAATCACCCTTATGTAAATGATGCTATATAAATTATCAATTATATTATAAATGTTTTAAATATATATTAAAACAATTTATCAAATAACAATTTTCATTTTTATAACTTTTCATCGATTATTATAATATTATCTTTTCTAGTATATCCATGTTGTCAGTAGTATGCTGACATTTTAGATCCATTACAATTACCATCCTTAGACTATAGTTGAACAAGCGCTCTGGAGAAACAATTTGTAATGGGTCTGAAATTTCAATTGATTACTACTTAAAACATAGATAAATCTAACAAATGTATTCCATGAAATTATAATATATTTTAATTTTAATAAATTATAAAATAATTTTCTAAAAGAATACTAAATTAGAAAAGTGTTTGTACAAATTACTACTTTACAAATTTATGGTTTTAGAGATTTATGGCTAAACCGAGTAAAAACAGAGATGGCACATTGAATCTAATGATTTGGCAGTGCTTCATACCAGGAAAGAAGAATGTAAGTATTAATTATATTTGATAATAGTATATGACAGATTAGCTGTCTTACAATGTTTTTCGTTTATAACAGATAACAATTTCTTAGCAGTTATATTACATTTTTGATATCTATAGTTGGGTTTCTACAATTTATTAACTTCCACAATTAATCGTTATCTGTTTATCCTTCAAAACAATTATTAAATCTGACATGAGCTGTTCTATTGATATACTTGTCTTATATACTAAATGTTGGAGTAATTAATCTGTTTACTCACCAGGAAAATAATAATTTTCAACAATTTCAGTCTTGGAAACCAGGCATAAAAAAACCATAAATAGAAAAATATTTTATGGTAAATAAAAAATAAATAAAATAAATTTTTATCTATTGAACGCTCTGGAAAAATATTTTTGTTGACAAATAATATAATCTAACCTATTCAATATTCTTGAACTTAACATTTGTACCGATATAGAAGTTAAAATATAGTGATCTATATGGATTAGTTAATATTATAAGGCTTAACGTACATGATGTAAACTATGAACTTTTATAACATCTATTTGTAAATTATTTATGGGAAATATTTGTATTTATTTATAACTCAGCTGCATAATAAATCTTTTAATCTCAAAATAAATAATTTGATTTAAAAAATTATACTAACTTGTTGAATTTAAATATTTCGTGAATTTATTTAATTTAAAGCAATTACTTAAAATCAATTTTTCAGACTCCTTGGGAAGGTGGTGTTTTTTCATTGCGTATGTTCTTCAAAGATTCATATCCATTAAGTCCACCTAAGTGCATGTTTCCGTCTCAATTCTTTCATCCAAACGTTTACCCATCTGGTAAGTACAGTTTTAATTATAATTTTTATTTACATTTCTTCAATAATAATATTCTAATATTATTGCTAAACATTTAGGATTATTACTGTTATTATTATTATCAGCTTTTATAGGTCATTAAGGCTCATTATTGCTCCACACGTCCTCCTAAAAATATTAAAAAATTATAATATATTATTTAACTCAATTTTTTTATTTTATGTTAAAGTTTTTTTAGATTATATAATGAATACTTTAATAATTATGTTTTAAATAATGACGATCTATTTAAAAAAAATGTAACTTAGTATTTATCAATAGTTTATACAAAATCATTTTTGGTAACTGATAAAATGTATTATTTTTATTAATTGATCTTTAATGTTAACATAAGTACATGTATTTCAGTAGTTTTTGCTTGAAATCGTTTCTAAAATGTGATGATTAATCATTGCTTTTAAATATATTTGAGTAATAATTAATTTACAGTCAAAATTACTATATTTTTATTTATGACTAGGAAACGTTTGTTTACCATTATTGGATCAGTATGGTGGTTGGAATTCCTCCATAACAATCAAACAAATTCTGTTAAGTATTCAACAACTTCTATGTGAACCAAACATCAACTATCCAGTGCAGCGGAAGGCACATTATTACTATTGGTAGTTGTAAATTTTTTTTATATTTTTAAAATAGTACTAATAACCATAGTATGTGGTTTATTATTGATTTTAAAAGTATTCTGTATTGACAAGCAATTAGAAACATTATATTTCCTAATATGTTGTAATCGATAATAATCTGTAATTAAAATTACAAAATAATAATAATAATATAGTAATACTTAAAAAAATCATATTTAACAAATATAATTAAGTTTATATCTGAGTCCACAATTTTATGAGGTTGCCTATTACATTACCTCAAATAAATTAACTTCTAATGTCTTAATCAATATTTTAATATTTTTATTTTTTTGTATGTTTACAGCCATGACCGTAATAAATATGATAAGATAGTAAGGGCACAAGCAGCTTATGCGTCAAGATTTTATGGAGCATACTAGTTGATGATGAATTTATGTATTTCCTTTTTTTATAATAGTAGTAATTCCTAATCGTTTAAGTATTTTCAGGAAATTTCTTTATTATTTTATATTCTTTTTAAATTTATTTTTGTGTGTCATCATAAACAATGTATTTTTCATTGGCTTATCTCTTTTTTTTTTTTTTTACTAAAAACAACTTTTTTTATGATTATATTTATTATTATTTTAATTTCCAATTGTTTTATAAAAATGTTTTGGTACATAAAGAATAAAGAGGAAATATAGTAAATATGTAATTTTCTTGGTTTTACATTTCATTGTGAGAGTGATTTATTGTTGGAAATCCTCTATATTTGTACTTAGACGTAACTTTACTGAGCTTTTTTTTTCAAAATAAAACCTTTATCTTTTCACCAATAAATAAATATTATTAAAAATATATTAAATAACCTGAAGATTACATAAGGTTATCAATTTAATTTTAAAAATAAAACGGGCAATTTTCAATAATCTTAGATCAGTTTTATTAAATTTTTATAAATTGTTTAATTTTTTTTTCTTCTTGCCATAAAAATATTGTTAATATCCTTTATATATTTTTAAACTTCATTTTAATCTGACCTAATAACAATAGATATTGATTCAACAACTATAGTTTCTGTTTTTACTGTAGGTTTTTGCTTAGAAATTTGATGTTGCCAAACAACCTGTGTTGGGTTAC